CGATGCTACCACGCGCGGTGTAGCAGACAAAGCCTGTGCGCTACATCTGCCTGTGTTGTAGAATCGAGCACGTGTGATTCGGTGCTGATGCTCCCTGGGCTGAACAAAATCCTACAGAGACTGTGAAGCTGTGAGACTCTTTCGCAATTCAAATTCCTTCTTCCTGTGACGTCCTCCAAATATCACACTTGATAGTAAGGCTGTGACTGAGCTGCAAAAAATCCTTCTTTTTTCGTTCCTCATCTGTGGTCAGTAATTACATTGCTAAGGGGTGTCCAGAAACTCGTTGCACCCTACCAAACCACTCACAGTTTCTACAGTAGTATGTACTTCACAATTTACTTTGCATAAAAATTTCCTTTGACCTTTAGGAAAGCTTGTATCATAATTGAATCTGGATCTGAACCTGGATCTTTCTTCAGGCATCCATCAGGATCTCTTCAATCCAGCAACAGCAGAGGGAGCAGCAGGTAGTTTCTCGTTAACCATATTATTAACAATTGACCGTAGACTTTCTATTTTATTTAACTTGGGACTATTTGCTGGCCACATTTATAACGTCCAAAAACTAGAATTTTCTCTGACACCAACCTCTGGGCCTCCAGAGCTTTATGAGCCTTGGCTCCATCCTGCATAAAAATAACCATTGACATGCCCCGAACAAGTTTGTTCTCAAATGTTGGCCTCCTTTCATTATTATTTTCTTATCTTTTAAACTGGTTCTGCTTCAGAGTCTCCTCCCTACAATATTCATTATTCAGCTTTTGAACCTGTGGTCTAATGTGGAGGTCAGAGAGCCCTCCAAAGGACATTGCTCTCTACCCCATGATGGTAGGGTTAAACTTTGGAACTTCAACATTTTAAACCATGCTACGACTTGGATCTCAAATAGCGTTATTTATTATGGTTGACGGATAAAACACATCATACGGCGATTCACTGGAGAAGACGACTTGTTTCCAGTCGTCTACACTCAACCTCCTGACCAGCTTACAGGAGGCCATCCTATCCTTGCTATGTTTTTCTGTTAGTCTGGGGATTATCCGTCTGTGATAGGCGGTAACACCCAAATTTTCATGCAAATACATATGACACCGGACTCAGAACCCCTCAGACGTTTAACATTCAGTTTTTTATGAGCATTCTTGCACTTTGCACTTGATCTTTCTTGCACTTTGGTTTTACAATAATAATCTTTCTAATTTTCTCTAAAATGTTTGGCCTTCCAGAGTTCTCCTGCTTTGTGAAGGTACATGTCCGCTTGTACTGTGACCATTAATACTTGACCGTCGTAATAGATGTACCCCCAACTTTGGCTACCTCTACTCGCTTCAGCCTGGCCTCTATCATACCTATAGCTCGACCTGCGTTCTTTGAGCTTTGTGCCATCAGGATCCCAGACACTGTTTTTTACAAGTTTAGAGTTTTCTTTTATATCTGTACTACTGTACGGTACAATAAGCATTAAGTACAAAATTCATTAGCTCGTCAATAATTATTTATGTAGTATAGGCGACTTTAACTTGCCTTGCACATGGAGGAATGGTACGGCAGGTGGTCGTAGTATTCCGGCGCGAGTTTCTTCAACTCCGGCAGCCTACTGAATGGCACGTAGGGGAAATCGTGATGTTCAACGTGATAGCCCAGGTTGTACAGCAGAAAGTTCATTGAACCGTAGTAGGAATGCGTAGCCAGATTGTCGGCAAACAGGTAGTGCTCACTGATCACATGTGCAGCCATTGGATGGAGCCCGAAGCCGAAAAATGTACTGAAGAAGAGGTACATGAAAGCATAGGGACCCAGCCATCGCCAAACGGCGTATCCAAAGGCTAGCTGGGTAAGAACGTTGATGATTTCCCACACATTCAGCGGACGAGGGGCCTTGAAGAAAGGTCGCAGTGTATAAAGTAGAGGATTGAGAAGGAGCCAGGCAATGCGTGAGGCTGGGGATTTGAAAAGAGCAACCTCTATTCGCATCGGGATGTCTGTGTCCAGATCCTCATGCCCAAGCCACCTGTATAATTCAACAATATCAATATTACCACTAGCAAAATAACAGTAGAAATTTCATTTTCCCGTAAGAAAAGATTTCGGTTTGCCTGACTTAGTTGTCACCGTTCTGGAGTATCCGAGGGTGAAACCAGTTGTCAGAATGCCCGATTGCATAGATTAGTCACCCTGGAGGGCAGAGTCTGATTCATTCGTGCGACAAAGGGATTAACTCTCATTATCTGCTGTAAATAAATTACTTGCCAAAATAATTAAAAACTACACGGACTTCTAGCGCATTATCCGGAAAATGCCGCAAACCACAATAAACCACGGATTAGGAAGATGCGATTGAGAGTTGAGATGATATTCCTGTCAGAACTCATAAAGAGGCAACGTAAACGGGGCGGGACCTCGATGACGAAGTGTATTGCCTCATCAGACTTTTCTCTAAGACTACGGAATGTACTATCTAGTATAGTTGTCCCAGATAAACATGCGTATTTGTCATCTGTCGAACGTGAGCAAGTGAGTCCACCACGCCAGCAGTGGGTTAGGCTTTACAACAGCCAACGCCCTAGCCAACTGAGTTGCATGACCCCCATCGGTAGCCGTAAGTTTAAACAGCGCAGATTTGGGGGACGCAATACCGACCGTACGTATGTCCTGAACGGGACGAAATGGTAGCTTTTATTTCCTCTCCATATTAACCGTTTTTCAAACAATAGCGCGGTAAGGCTAGGAAGCGTGGTAATTAGTCCAGTTTATATGGCTTGGAGGAAATTATAGGTATGTGCAAAACAACCAGGATATGCTCACCGATATTTCGTCTTCGGTCGGTATAATTATCGATAATGATATAAAATTGTTACTGAAACTCAGCAAGTAGTATATTTTGGTAGTCCTTAAAGTTTTGGAGGATACAACGAAAGGAATGTGTTCGGTTTTGATTACATGTGGGTACCTTTGGTTGCACTGGTCAAGCGGTCTGTGGATGGGAAGGCGGTGATATTTACAAGCAGAGCGTGCCATGCGTTTGACACTCTATTTGTCTCGCCTCAGATACACGTATTTGACGAGTAGGTCCTAGTGGGCAGGCATTCTATACCGGTACATCGTAGTTATAATCGCGTGCCAAACGCAAAAGCGGTCAAACTGTAAAATGTGTTTTGGTCTCACGAGGAGTCTACGCAACTTGAGCATTGGCATCATTTCTCAGCTCTGCTGCCGCGTGTTCGGCAATTCGCACTTTAAGAAATCTTCCAGTTTCTCTGACGTAGTTGCTCTGTCCGCAACTGTGCCAATCCTCCAGACAACTCCCGATGTTTCCTGCCATGGCATTGAGTCTTTTAGTTTCGGTTGGCAGTGCTGCCCTCTCCCGCTGGGTAAGTTTACCAAGCACTCTTCCTGCTTAGCTGGTGAAGTACCGTTCATGGGGAAACATCACAGCGGACAGAGTTGTTGTTTTATCAAACTTCCACTCCACAACGCTCTCGGTGATTTCGCATGGAGAATAACAGAAATGCAATACGTTGGTGATAGTCTGGTTTTTGGACATAAAAACAATCTTCTACGTTGAATTTGTGACTTTTGGCATCCCAGACGAACAACATTTCTATCTGCAAATGCTGAAACATTTGTTTGAGACAGGAAAAACAGACCCACATTTTGGCGATGGGAAGACGGACTACTTCACCATGACAACACTTCTGCACAAACAATCTTAAAAACCAGCGACGCTTTCACCTGTGCGTTCTCCAAGTGACAAATCTCTCAGGTGAAACTGAGCCTCAGCACTTGTTTATGAACTGGGGGGGAGGGGGGGTGGCGTAAAGCACTACTGAGGCAACTATCCTCGATAGGCTGAAGCCGTTAACTGTCACAAGTGTGCAGCGGCAAAGTGACTGCATCCTATGATTACTGCAACACCCTGCGCATTAATTACTCGTCTCTGTTATTGTTTCTGATGATGAATTTGCAACGTAATCCGAATCGTCACGCGAGAAAATGTATTGTCCCAGTGATCGCAACTGCTTCTTCTCAATAACTACCTAAGACTCACATTTTCGGTTGTATTGACAGTAACAAGGTGACGGACTACCCCCACGTTTACTCAGTTCTGAAAGTAAACTTCCTAATGACCGTTTTAAATGTTTTAATTGACAATAGAAATATAACTGGCACCCGAATCGCGTTTTCCAGACATTCAGCAAGGCAAATTTTGTGATGAATGTACGAGAGTGCAAATGAATGCCTTATGATTCTGATTACCTTATATGTTCGGAGGAAACTCCTCCTGAATACATCTGGTTTTCCTTAAATTGAAGTTGTAAAAAGAATTCCTTTCAAGGGTGATCACAAACTCAGCAACCGTGACCGATACTGGCTTATTTTACTAAACGAACTCGGAAAGTGTTCCTTTTAGTCAACACCATAGTTTAATATAACATAGCTAACTACTTATCTCTTTACAGTTTTTTTAGTTAGCTTTAGTTCTTAGTTAGCCTGAGTGGGTGATTAAACTTACGGCTACCGATGGGGGCCATGCAACTCAGTTGGCTAGGGCGTTGGCTGTTGTAAAGCCTAACCCACTGCTGGCGTGGTGGACTCGACTGCCACCGAGGTTTTCACAAGTGCGTTACATGAATTATCGGAATCTACACCAAACGCTTACTACTAATAAATACGCAGCCGACATTTTGGCGTGAATATATTCAGACGAGAGTTTATAAATAGGCATTTTTGAACATAAAGTTGAAAATGAATTAAAGCATCATTTTACTGCCGTTTTGTCGATTAAGAGGGGCGACATAATGCAGTAAACCAGACTGAGAGTTCCTGATATGGCCACCTCTAGGGGGGCTTCAACAAGTAAGACTTAATTTCATGGAAAGGCATCCTTTGGGAAATAGGTAGTTTATTGCGTAAATTTTTGACACCTGGATCCCCAGTTCATCATCAGACTTGAGAGAAATTTGCAAACAATTTACTACAAGCAGAAGATGCTCTCACTATTAAAAGATAGCTCAACCTATAAGCC